GTGTTTTAACCGACATAAGCAATATGTAGGCAATGCAAAATCCATATGTGATGTACATCACAGATATTTGAGTAAAGCACAATTTTTCTTTTTTTTTCCTTTTTTTTTTATTTTTGCTATTAATGACATCATTTTTTATTGTGACGTCATAAGTATGTGGATTCCACAAGCCTATATCCCTGGGCAAATAAGACAACACGAACGGTCGTCGGTCATCCTCATATCATCACAGAGAATTTTAACGAAGATATCTCCAACTACTTTGTGTTGATCAAGTGTACAGTTCTGCCACCTCATGGTCTCTTCCACCCTGTCCTGCCTTATTGTACACGGGGAAAGTTGATGTTCCCCTTTTGCAAGTCATGTGCAGATACGTGTAACCAATCCCCATGCACCCATTCCGACTCCCAAAGATCCATTCAAGGAACCTGGTCCAGTGTGGAGTTGCAGAAAGCCTTGGAGAAAGGTTACATAATTCTGAAACTCCACGAAGTATGGCATTTCCCACAACAATCTGATGAACAGTTTAAAGATTATATCAATACGTTTCTGAAAATCAAACAGGAAGCAAGTGGTTACCCAAAGAATTGCACTACAGAGGAACAGAGACGCCTTTATGTTGAGGAGTACTACAAGCGAGAAGGAATCCGTTTGGACCCGTCCAAAATTGAACATAATCCCGGGCTTCGTGCCCTGGCAAAACTGATGCTTAACTCATTTTGGGGTGAGTATATTGCTGCAAACTTTGCTGTACCCTCTAAACGATTTTTTTTCTCTCTTTTTCAGATCAGTAACCTATTTTGTCTTTTAGGTAGAATTAATCCCAAGTTTACTTTGACTACCTAACTTCAGATGAAATCAATGTTCTTGATGCAAATTTCGTCAATGATGAAGTGATTGAAATCCACTATGAAAACGACGAAAATTTCATCGCGCCAAATTCAAAAACAAACGTGGTCATCGTTGCTTTCACCACTGCCTACACTCACCTCAAACTCTACGATGTTCTGGATCAACCTCAGGAAAGAGCGTTGTATTACGATACTGACTCGGTGATCTTTGTCAGTAAACCCTGTGATCCAGAGCCTCCTACGGGTCCGTACCTCAGCGAACTTACAGATGAATAAAAAGGAGACTACATCACCACGTTCATCTCCCATGGCCCAAAGAATTACTGTTATCGCACAAATTTGAACAAAGTTGAGACAAAGATACGCGGTATCACGCTGAATTGCACCGCTAGGCAAAACGTTAACTTTGAGGTGATTCGTGCTTTGGTATACCTTCATGCAAAATGTTATGTTATATCATTTTGTGTGCACACTTGGCTGGCATATTGCAAACTGAGGATTTGTTTAAAATCATGTCATTTTATACATGTGATTATCGCAATCACAGCACTTATTACAAATACCTAAAAGTCTCTTCTTTTAGCATCTGTGCAGCATCCGTTAGCAGTCTCTTCTTTTAGCATCCGTTAGCATGTAAAGTACAAATTTAAGATTGGTGATCAAGTTAGAATTAGCAAATTAAAACGAAAGTTTGAGAAAGGTTACTTGCCAAATTTTTCCAAAGAAATATTTACTATAAGTAAGCAGGTACCTTGCAATCCTCGCAGGTACCTCGCGATCGAAGTTGAAAAGATTCTTAAGAAACGTGGGAGGGGTGATAATATACAATACTTTGTAAAATGGTTAGGGTACCCGAAGAAGTTTAATTCATGGGTACCTGCTTCAGAAATAAATAAAAACCTTTAATTGTGTACTTTCGTTGTTATATTTATCTGTATTTCACGATGAGCAGAGCACATTTTTATCTTACGCTTCCCAACAATGCATCCTTAAATATCTTTCCTGATAACAAAACTACCAGTTACCGTGTTAAATTACCACAATCTGTTGATTTGAAAGGTGATTGGGAAGTTGGTTTGTACTCCATTTCCTGTATTCCAGATCTAAACTTTGTAATAGATATTTCTTCTTTCAAATTAGTTGGTAGCAAGTTAAAAAGTTTTGCTCCTTGAAACATGAACGATTTTCTGCCACACTCAGTTTTCACCTTAGGTAGCACTATATTTTTTCCGTTATTTCGTGTATTAATGTTGTGATTAATCCGTTTAAAGTAGTCTTTGTAGGTTTCTGGAACAGTACCATTCAAGTATTTCCATACATCCAAAATGGATAATCTATCGCACAACGTTTTAATTGAGATCCATTTACTAATTGATTTTTCTCCGAACGCAATTTTGAAAGAACGATCTTGTATTTTCTGAAATCTATTTACCACTGTATCAGAACCGAGTAGCAAGGGGTGGCAGTAAAGGAGAATCGATTTTATCATTACTTTAAATATCGACTCCGCTACATGTGTTGTAACCGTTGATCTGATTAATGATAATAATCTAACCCTTGACATTGCCTTCTTGAACAACTTGTCTGTTTGTTGTTTAAACGTCAAAGAGTTGTCCATTAAGACACCCAAGTATTTGTAAACTGTTTAATTTTCTACTTTTGTTTTTTCGGCCATTATACTTATCTCAGATGATATGGATAGTTTCTTTTTAGTTCCATATAGAACAGCCTCGGTTTTTCCTTTCTTCAGGTTTATAGTTAAGTTATTGTGTTCAAGCTAATTTATTACACAGTTGAATTCTTCATTTATAGTACCTTCTATTTTCTTGGGATCTATATCTGAGTAAAATATTACCATGTCATCAGCATATAATAACATTTTACATTTGTTTATTTCCATTCCAATATCATTTATATGAAGTAAAAATAACAATGGCCCCAATATTGAGCCCTGGGGAACTCCACTTGTCACGAGTCTTTCGTCAGAATCTACACCGTCGTATTTCACATATTGTTTTTGATGAAACATGTAATCTTTGATCCATTCCAATTCTTCATCCTGAATGCCATACGCTGGAAGCTTGGATAGATGCCTTCCGCAGATCTACATATACCACTCCTGTATAGTTGCCTTTATCCATATGCATACGGATGTGGTCAGATAATAAAGTTACGGCTTGGGTTGTACACCGACCCCTGCGAAAACCATATTGACTTTGATTGAATAGCTTGTTACTTTCCAAGTATTCGTAAATTTGTCGATGAACTAGTCGTTCTAGTACTTTCGAGAAGGTTGGCAGCACAGAAATCGGTCTGTAATTGTTGAATGAGTCTCTGTCATCAGATTTGAAGATTAGTGTTATTTTGCCACACTTTTCAGGTGTAGGAAATAAGGATTGTTGAAGTGACATATTAGCAAGGTAGCAAAGGGTAGGTGATATCTCTTCTGCCCCATCACGGATTAAATTTGAAGGTAATTTGTCATTCCCAGCGGCTTTACCTTTCTTTATTCGGCACAGATCATTGCGTACTTCCCTCAATATCTGAATTTGAATCTTTCTTTGTTAATATTCACTGAGTTTTCCAGTTCAATAGAGAAATCCCCATTTTCCCTCCATATACTGATTTTTCTCAGTTTTTCACTTACAGAGCAGAAGTAAGAGCAGAAACTATTTGATATCACCCTTTTGTCAGAAACCCTGATTCCATCAATTTGAAACGTTTTTACATTATTCTCAGATTTCGACATTGTTGGAAAACAAGCCTTGATGTGTTTCCAGAATTGTTTTGGATCGTTCACTTGCTCATACAATATATTTTTATTGTACCTTGATTTACTATTCCTTATCATGTTTGTTACTGTGTTTCGTAACCGTTTATAAGTTGACCAGTCATTTTCCGCATTTGACTTTCTGGCATGCTTAAGATAATAGTCACACTCTCTCATTTTGTCCCTTATTTCAGTATTCATCCATTGACAACCCTTTCCTCTCACTGTTTTTTGCTTAACTGGTGCATGTTTATCAACAATTGATGTAAACAAGTTCTTAAAAATACACCAGGCATTATTTAAATTTGACTCGGAAAGTACGTGGTCCCATGGGGCATCATGTAAATCTTTCTTGAACCCAAGTTTATTATATTTAGAGTAATCGCGACAATGAATTTTTCTTGGCTTAAACTTCATAGCATTTAGTTTTCTTACAACCCCCCGTTAGATCGTGATCGCTGAAGGACTTTGCTTCTACTATGGTTTTTTCTATTCTGTTCGGGTGAGTCGTTGCTATAATATCAATTAGCGTTTTGGAAGTTGACGTTATTCTGGTCGGCTGGTCAATTAATTGCTTAAATCCATTGAGATTTATAGCATCTTTAATTTCTTTTTGGTTGTTCTTTATCCGGTAATTACAATTTAAGTCACCTGCAATTATCGTTTCCTTATTTTCATTTACCCCAGCTTCTAACATTTCCCTAAACTTGTTAGCGAAATTGTTATCTAAATAGGTCGATGATTCCGGGGGTTTGTATGCTATGCAAATTAGGATAGGCTTCGATAAAACTATAAACAGTTCAATCCAAATAGATTCAATTCCCTCAACCTCAAGGTCATAGCGCCTTTGCCAGTTCAAGTCATTTCATAAATAGCACAAAACGAGAATGCAAGACCTTCTCAAAGCCACCAACAAGACTCTGAAAAAAGAAACCCGTAACGATAACATCAATTTAACGTTCGATGCTGTAACCGGAAAAGTGACAGTTCACTTAAAAAGTGGCCATTGGTTGGTTTTGGCAGGAAGAATGTCTATTATCTTAGGATTTTGGGGAAAGGAAGTAAAATTAACAAAAAGACCATTAGTCCTTATGTTGCAGACTTGTTTGATATGTCAACAATATACATTTATTGTGACGTTGTTCAACCTCAGATTGTCGGTGATTCCAACGCAAAGTTACTCCGAAGCATTCCAGTCGAGGGAAAGTCTGGGGACATCATTACCAAAACGTTCACAAATATACAATATGTGCCAGTCCAAACTAAATGATTTGAAGATGTGGAGATTCTTTTAAGGACAACACAGGCGATCCCATGCCATTTGAACGCAGAAAGGTGGTGATAACACTACATCTCAGACAGCACAGTTATTTCTAAAAATGAGTAACGCGTATGTTCGTTACTATCTTGATCAGCAACAAGGGCGTGGTATGGCTGTTTTCAGAGGCAGACCATGGCAGATGGGTCATGGACAAGTCGGTTTTGGACTAGGTGGTCTGTTTAAAAGTGTTGCTAGGGCAGTCATGCCAATTGTAAAAAGTGGAGCAAAAGCTCTTGGTAACATTGCCCTGAGTACTGGAGCTAATCTATTAGGAGACGTTGCCTATCGGGAAAAAATCTGAAGACCACGATAAAAAGTCGAGGGCGTGAAGCCATAAACATTGCTAAGGGAAAAGCCGTTAATCATCTAAAAACGTACGCTCAAACAGGAAGTGGAAAACGGAAAACAAAGAGAAACGCATCAATTAACATGAAAAGTCATCCTAAGAAACGCAAAACGACTAAAAAGAGAAAAGCATCAACATCCACAGCCAGAAGCAGACAGACCAAGAAGCGGAGAACAACTTGTGCGGAAGATATATTTGGTTAAATGTGAACCTTGTGCATTCAAAATCTCCTGAAGGAATGAAAAGTGAACTTGATTTATTTGGAATACCAATTACATTGATGCAGACGAAAAAGTCGGAGTTGTGAACAATTTTCTGAACAGCCTTTTCAAACAAGTTGACGTCTTTTTGAAAGAAAAGCAAGTGACACAAGCTACGGGAACGTATGCATACCGCTTGTATTTGGGGACACTGCTTAATTTCGAACTCACCGCGGCTTTGTTTTATAAAGATACAGCAGGAAAATTTGATGTGTCCGATCCTACAGTAGCGGTTGCTGCTAATACCAACTATGGTCTTAAAAAGAGATACAAATTCAGCAGCGCGAGTAAAACAATTGAAATGGCTGGACCTATATTTAGTGATGTGTTGTTTTCAGAACGTCCCCTGTTAAGCTTTGTAGACCTAAAAGTAATTCTGAATCGCAATATTAACGAGTTTTGTTTGATGGCATCTGAAGATGGTGTGGATTACAGAGTAAAATTGATGGATGTCTATCTCAAAATACGTAAGGTGAAAATTAGCCCAACTGTTTCCATGGCCCATGAGATTGCATTGAAAAAAGGTCCTGCTAGCTATCCTATCCATCGTGTTGAATGTAAAAGTTTCATTATTCCAGCTGGAAATCCCTCCCTAAGGAAAGATAACATTTTCAACGGACTTGTCCTGAAATCATTTGTTTGTGGCTTGGTCGAAAGTGCAGCATTCAATGGCGCGTACAAACAAAACCCATTCAACTTTCAACATTTCAACATGTCGTTTATTGGAGCGTCTGTGAATGGCGAAGAAGTACCTTTGAAAGGTATGCAACTCTCCTTTGCCCGTGCAAATCCCAGATATATTGAAGCATTTTACACAATGTTCCCTGGCACGGGAAAGATGAACTACAACACTGGAAATGATATCTCACACGATTAATACATAGAAGGAAACGTGCTTTTTGCATTGGATCTAACGCCAGACATGTGTGGTAGTTCAACGCACTTTAATGCTGTTCAAAAAGGAAATTTCGCAGTTGACGTCAAGTTCTCTCGTGCGCAGGCAGCAGCTGTGAGTCTTCTTTGTTATGCAGAATTCGAAAACCTGATACAGATTGACGGTGAGAGAAACGTCATATATGACTATACCGGCTAGATGAATACCGGACAGATAACTCGCGCATTGGAACAAGATTATTTCACAAGGAAAACATTTTTTGGTGTATTTCACATATGGCACATTTTGGTGACAAATTACCTGAAAAAATTGAAAATTATCCTTGCGGTTTTGTTGCAAACACAGATCCAAGCACTGAACCTGGAACGCATTGGGTGGCCTTTTACTTTCCATCAAAACATAACATAGAATTTTTGGATTGGGTTGGAAAATAACCATTCATTTATTTATTAGAACATGCAGTTACAAAATTCAATATTTAATCCATTGTTTTGGAGTTTTTTCCTGTGTATCATGTCTCTTCAACAGTCTTTCAAAATAAGCTGATGATGGGCTTGATTGTTTGGGTGCACTGACAACAGATTCTCCTCCTGCAGACAGAGTATCCATTTGCTTTAATCTTTCCTCATTCCTCACAATGTTTGTGAGCTCGCAGTAGAAGCAAGCTCCCCATGTAAACATTTCATCGCTTAATCTTGACTTAAAAGATATGAAATAAGCTCTCCCAAGTGAAACTCGCAAACACTGATGATATCCAGCGTTTATGCCCCCAATTTATACTCTGAAGACAACACTGAAAACCAATAAGATCATCTGATGACAATCTTAGATGTCTCCTCAGACATCTGACCCTGCATATCTTAGTCAGATTGTGTTGTGAGAAAACTTTGAATTCAGTTGAACACAAACCTTGACAATGGAAAGTTCGAACAAGGTATTCCATTTGCTGGAAGTAATGTATGCCAATGCTGTAGAATGCGAGGTTCAAAAAACGCACAGTAAACTCTGCTGTGGTTGTAAAGTAAGAGACCAAGACTGTTTAATGTTAGACGAGTACGAGACATGGCAGTTGTATGGTTTTGAAGCCATAGAGCAAGTTAACAATACATGCATGATATGGAGTGAGTTTGTCAAAGTAACAAGAGTCTTAGACCTTAAGTGTTATGATGATGTATTTCAGCACTGGAAACAACTTACAAAAGATCAAGATTTTATACTGATTGAGTCCTTAATGAACGTAAAAGATCCTAAAGTTCAAAGTGCATTGAACCAGCTGTCTTATTGGAAAGGAGATTCATACCAAACTGATCCACTAGAGTCAGGTGTCGTTGCCTTTTTCTGTAACCCAATTATCTTTAAGTACACGGTTAAAACAACAGGAGAACAGTTTACAAGTGATGAGAACAATCATCACAAAGCATACACAGAATATTTAAGAAATTAACTCTTAAAATGAACATACAATTGTGTAATTCTCAGTAGTAAAATAAAATATACTCTTCGCAAACTCTTACTGTGTGATAAATAAACCGGCATTTGTGTAATTTGAGTAAGATGCTGTCAAACAAACATATCCTGCGTATTTACGCTATTATGCATATTTACGCTTTATTGTTTACCCCGCCCTTTGCTCCCGCACATTATCCTACTCGAGCGTGGAAGCCACTCACATCTTCCGGAAAATCCAACAGTTTCCGACGTCCCACGTGGGGTCCACAGCGTTGCGTGTTTTCCTCGCTATATGGGGGAGGCTACCTACTATCTTAGTTGGCCAAAGTGCATAAGAACAACTCCAGCTAGCTTTGCAGCTTCTTTTGGATCTTTAACCATGACTTCCAACACAAGGCAAGCTTCGTACTTTGTGGTGACAGTATAAGGAATATACTTGTCTCTTTGTAAAATGTAAAAATCTTGTGTCAAATACTCAGCATAAACTCATAAATATTCATTTACTACACAGCCAAGAATCAAATATTCATTTACTACACAATCCAAGAATACAAACCTGTAGAGAGCGTTCAATTCAGCAAAAACCCTTGTCAAGAACTGTTTCGTTTCATTGCCGTGAAACAGGTTAAACAATTGACGTGCTTCTCAAGTGTGCTTCTCCTGTTTGAACACTACTTCTGGGTGTTTTACCTGATAATGTTGGGCTAGATCTTGAAAAAATACTTTTCCAGCCTCACTCCTACAAGATGAATGCGGACATGGAAATTTACCATCTGGATAAGCATCATTGAATGGACGCATTTCAAAGTTTGAATTTTCAGCAAAGTCCGCCATTTTTAAAGCAGAAAATGCCAGTCGTCTCTTTCCTTTCCCCCTTCCCAGAGCCCCTAGCGCACCGCAACATGCAGCCCACCCAAAGGCTTTTTTACCTTTGCTACATTTGCACTTTAATATTTTATATCACACAGGAGACTAGGGACGAGTCAGTGCATACACTGCATTTAAGTTATATGAATCAAATAATGAGTTGGAGATGCTATTCGATGGTTTTACTGCAGTGGAAGGCCAATTGCCAGTGAACATCGTGGACAATTGGTGACGTAATTCTGAAAATTCAATCTCTAGCACAATCTCCAACCCATACAAATTCCTATTCTCAGGAGTACCAGGATTTAAATAGGACAGTTTTAATTTCTGCAAACAAAAATTTGCACTAAATTTCGTGCGAGAATTCAACCTGCACACTTGACGAGGTACTTTATTATCGCACTGACAATATAATATGATTCTGATGAAATTGAACTATAACTATTAATTATGTGTGTTTTAAGAATAAAGTATGTATTCTCTATTAACTTGGACGGTTCAGTGCTGATAAGTAGATTCGATTCTATAGGAATTTTTAAACAAATTCAGATGAAAATTTTAGGTCATGTGTATGGTGCTCAAGATGTTTGGATCACCATCTTTTGTACGGACAATGAAAACTAATATACTTTGATTGGTTATTTGATATTAGATTTTTGAGTACCTCACATCGCATATTTTTTAATCAAATGTAAAATGAGAAATTTTTCTTACTTGTTTTCCACATTGCATGGCAAATTGCTGTGACGAAATCATGCATGATTAAACATGTTTTGAATGTCACCATTCCATATATTAAATGCCAAAGATTTATTTCAGGCATGCCTGAAGGACTTAAAACAGTATAATCTGCACGATAACAGCATGAAAAATTTTAAAATTTAAAAAAAAAATGTTTCAATAGTTTTAATGATGAAGAACCGTTGTCATTTGGTTTTCTTGTCTTATGTGACTTTTTGTTGTTTTTGTAGCTATAACAAAAAATCCTGTTGTTAATGCCACTAATGTCGATTTCTTATGTAATTGAGACACATAAACCGCAAAAATTTCTTTGTCTCTTTTCGGCGTAAAATTTACCCTAAAATTTTTTCTGAAAATTTAATAAGACAATATCAAAGTGATGAAAAACAGCTGTTTTATGTATACCATTCCAAAAAATTAGTAGCCACACCATCATGAGGTTCATCAGAGACTCATCATACATATTAACGTAAGTATGGCTCATCAGGATTTTGTTAGATTGCAGTGAGTCCCATTTATTCTATAACCATAGCAGGGCGGAAACAAGAATGATAAATGGGGGCAGGTATTCATATATTCAGTTCTGCCCGACGGATTTTTTGCCTGGTACGATAAGTATACACTAATTTTTTTATCATGAGACCGAAGGAATTTTCTATTAAAAATTGCTTGTTTTAAGTTCAGTAAGAAAAATGGCTTACTTGGAACTGTAATTTTGGCTGTCCTCTGAAATTCTTTGTGATCTCTAAAGTAGACCCTTTCAATAACACGTCACAACATTATCGTCTCAAGTTTATAACTGTAAGCCGGCTGTGGCTTAAGAGCCTCGTCTTAGTGTTACGACTTATTTCCACGTAAAATGAAACAAAAAAGATGAAAAATTCTTTTTAATTGACGTGTTGAAACGGGATGTTTTGTATCTTGGCACGTTGCAAGGATAAAACTTATGCATCTTATTTAGGTAGTTCTAAATTTAAAGCAATAATGTTGTGATGTAATTATAGAAAGGGTCTTTTTTGCATTCTCTGAAATTGCAAAAATCACTGCGATAGTTTGTTAAGAGTTTGATGAATTTCCTGCTCACATTTCCAACAGCCGAAATTACATTTTTGGAAATGAACTTTTTTAAAATTTTAAAAAATTTTTTGGAAATGAGACTTTTTATTTAGACCACATTACATCATCAAGATTTTTATCGAAACGTTTTTTAAGGAATCAATTTTTAGACAAATTACTAATTATGTGGACTAATGATTTATTGCATCTAAGCCTTTTTATTTTAATTGGTGCATGAGTATATAACAAAGCCGCAAATTAAGTAAGCCATACTAGCCACATGTTACTAGGATTGTCAAATGAGTGTATACTAGACCAGTTAATTTCACGTAAGTGAGAATTTTTCAACTGCATCTTGGTTACTGACTAAATACCAAGTCATTTACATCAGCTACTTTTGTATTAAATAGATCCGAGAATGATCACTCATACCCAGGGAGTGAATCCTAAGGCCTATATTCTTTCACTTTATCAGGATAATTATATATAGTAAGACAAAGGTCAATAAGTGATTTCGTTGTATTAGTAATTCCATGTAGGCTCCGATGTGACCTGAGATAAATATTACAAATATTAAGATTTTGTTGAATTGTGATTGGGGGGCTCGCAGACATAACATCACAGTTGATGTCCCCTACCAGATAAAATCACTGCCATCAGCATCAATCTTATCTATAACATCCTGAAAAGCAGTACCAACTTACTATACCAAGAATGGCCTTGAACAAGGTTTCTAGATTCTCTCTGTAAATCGTCTTGTATAATCTGAAGTTTAAATTTTAATGAAAATACCAACCCCGCCACCAATAATAGGACGATCTTGTCTTGTGTTATGATGTCGCCATCATAGCCTGGAATATGAATCTCAT